CTTAAAAAAAGTAATATTAAGAACTTAGATATTTTGGAAGGAATAGAACGAACTATGTATTGATGGATGTAGAGAAATATAGCTGGTCTGTAGGAAAAATAAGTTAAATTTCGTCAGGTACAAGTACAAATTTTTTCGTTTAGATAAAAATGAACTAACCAAATTGCGTTCGGCTGGATGTGCGGTAACAGCTGTGGCACCCTGGAAGTATTCCGTGACACGCCACGAAAACGTTGGCTTCGCTAGCGGTGCCGTTTCTTTTCGTAGATCCCACAGACAGATCTGGCCGTCCAGATGAGCCGAAACGAATATCTGTTCACCGATTGTTTCAATCGAGCGAACACTTGCCAGACCCTGAAAAAAGCCTTGATCCCGGGCAAGGCAGAACAAAATGGACCGATGTAACTAAATTTGCTGTGATTCTGCCTTGAAATTCTGGAGGAATTTTTGACAATTGATAATGTTATTTAAGAAAATAAAAGAAAAATACACAAAATTTGCAACAAGAAATATTGGAAATTCAAAAATAACTCCTAAGCGGCCCAAAAGTTAGCCCCCTCCTCCCCCTTCCCCACCCGCCTCCTCCGCTTCCACTTTCTATAACAGGCGAAGGTGGTCGAACAGTAAAAACCAACCAGAAGAGCAGTAAATTCAGATATTTTATGGTTATGAAAAAGGTTGTAACAAAGTGGAAAATAAAAGTATAAGCAAAAAATAATAAAAAGTAATGAATTAGAATGTTTCGGTTCACAAAAAAATAGATAACTCATCCTTAAAAACCACTCAAAATAATTTGCAGCTGTTGGAAGGCCGAACCATAGTCTTAAAATAGTAAGGGCGGAAAGGGCCGTAGAGGCCCAAAACCTTAAAAACAAGTGGACGATTCAAAGCAAACAAAATGTGGAGTGGCCAGAAACCGAAAATTTAAACTTACACGGGATTAGTTTTACAAGATGAAGTTATGATATAATAGGAAAGATAGTAGGGCGACTCATGTGGCAAAAAAAACCCAGCATGACATGTTGAAAAGTCATGTGGGAAGAAATATATCGGAAAAAGTCTGCCTGTGTTTCATCCCTTAGTTATAAACATTGATGGTATAAGGTGCGGTTAGGAGCGGGAATCATCAGTACAGCTCACCATGTAACTATGTCAGGTAACAATTTAGAAGCTAGGCGATACTGGCTTCGACTTTTCTCATACTAAGACCTCTTCATCACAGAACTGAACAGGCCAGTAGTACAGACGCGGAATCGAACCTTTAAACTCCAACACGACAGCAGCAGCACCATTTGCTATTGAATTTAGTAGCTCATATACAGATTGAAAATAAATAATTCGAAAAAATATCACATATAGTTTAAGAATGAGACAAAAATAATTCAGGGCAGATTAAAAACATTCAAAAAAAAGATCACGATTTGTAATAATTTTAAGATTACGACTTATAATTACAATTTATAACATTAAAGATTACAACTTCTAATATCATAATAATTTTATCAAAATTTTTACTACTTTTACTAATTTCTTAATATTATTTTCTCTTCTCTTCCTCTTTCTACTTTAAAAATGCTTTTTTATTAAAAAAAAAAAATCACAATAATCGAACCGTAGAAATGGTGTCAGTAGAGCCAGTTTCCAAGCATGTTGCCACTAGCGTACCACCTTGGCCACCAGATATCACTCGGTCACCGTTGAAACACAGTGCGTTGCAGGAGCATTCTGCATGCAAATTGCTGTAGACTGTGACCGGTTCGATGACACCTTCGTCATAAGCAACCACCCTTACCGAGCCATCATTCATTGCAGCCGCAAATCTTTTTGCATTGCAAAGCCTGAAGATGGCGCAAACAATCCTGCCGCTTGAAAGTGATAAAAAGAAAACAGAAGGGATATTTTAAAAAAAAAAAAACTATTACACTCCAAATATATAAGACAACAAGTGTTGCAAAAGGAGGAAGGTGCTAGCAGCAAGGAAACGAAGATAGTGGCTAAACCCCCTTCGCCTTGCCCAGTTGTCCTTCGGTCACCTGTGGCATGCAAATGTCCCGTCTCTTGATTCGAGTTCCCCCCTCCGTGATATTTAATGTGGTGACTAGAAATGAAGTTAAAATTGTTTTTTGGCACTAAAAATTGTGCAGCGGCAGCGCTTGGAGCTGCTGCCGGGTTTTTTTCGTGGTTTTTTTGTTTTTTTGATCTTTTCTCTTGGTTATGCGCTGCTTTACTAATAAAGAATTGTTGATCAGTTTGGGCGAGAGCCACTTCACAACTGTGTAGGCCACTGGCCGCCCTCCTCCTGATTGTTATACAGGAAATTAAAAAAAAAATGAAAATGTGGAAATCACAACGGATTTTTAACGCCTCCATGGCACAAAAGGAATGTCAAAAAAAAGAAAAAAAAAAAAAGAATTATTCCAATCCAAACAGCATATTCTCACAACGCAATATATTAAACCATAACAAGAATTCGAAAAAAATCTAGAAATCGCAATCGAATTTTAACGTTTTCATGGTAAAAAGGCATTTCCTTCCTAATTCTGCACCTATTTTTTGCAGTGCAGTTCTCTCCCAACGAAAATTTTGCACCCTCTTACTTAATTTTTCATATTTATTTTAACTTAAAGGAGCCATTTTTGAGATTTTTTTAAGAATATTTTCTCCTCACTCTACTACAAGTTCTCTTTCAACAAACAGAACGTAATATTTTCTCCTTATCACACTGCAACCTCTCTTTCCTTCCTACACCAAAAGTAATAAGAGATTTTCCCCCGTACGGAAAATCGCTAACTTGGGAACCAGGAAAGCTAGGAAGCTGAAATTTTAAGGGAATGTTCTTCGCCCATGTACAACTTAAAATTATCAATTTCAGCCATTTACAGCTTAAAATTATCAAAATTATCAATTACCAACTTAAAATTATTCCAGACATGCACGGTTATCACGTACGGCCCTCGTACCACAAGCAACAAAAAATTTATATTCAAATTAAATCTAAAAGCAAAGAACAGATAAAATAACAGTTTTTTTTCAGGCCATATGTAATTCGGGGAAAAAACAGAGCAATCTTACGAAAACTGGGCAAAAAAACAGCAACATTCGAAATATTTATGAAAAAAAGTAGAGCTTACACCAAATCATTCACATCAGTTGAAACTTCCAATTTGCACTCACAGACGCACAAATCGTCCGCATCGGAATCAGTACCTGAATTAATTACATGCCAGTTCAAGCCAAGCTAATATGAAAATTAGAAAAAACATTTCAAAAATTGCAAAAGTAGCAAAACCACAAAACTCGTGCAAAAGAAAAAAATTGGCCAACGCACGGGCTATTCATGCAAAGATGCGTTTTTTGCATGGTTCCCCGCAGTTTTTGTCGCTACCGGCATCGCTTTTTCGGTAGATCCTTCTAGCTAAACAAATTAAGACTGGCCGCCAAATCTGGCAGGAAACACCCCGTTAAAATTTCAGCTTTCTAGCTTTCCTGTTTCCCGAGTTAGCAACTTACTCGCGAAAAAATTTCATGGGTCTGTACGTGAGAACCAATGTGAGCACGAGCGTCCATTTTCGAGACGGAGGCTCGCATGTGTACGCAGATTAAGTTCCCCAAATTTTCAGCCCTGTAGCTTTTGTAGGTCTCGAGATGGAAAATCGGTACAGACGCACATACAGACACGCACACAGACAATCTCTCGACAATATGAGTTTTTGCATTGCATTGCACAAATGCAAAAAAAAAAGCATAAAGACACTACAGTGAGTACAGGACTGCGATATGAAAAATCGGTACAGACACACACACACAGACAACCTCTCGACAATATGAGTTTTTGCATTGCACAATTGCAGAAAAAACCACATAAAAACACTACAGTGAGTACAGGACTGCGATATGAAAAATCGGTATAGACACACATACAGACACATACACACACACACACACACACACATACACACACAGACAACCTCTCGACAATATGAGTTTTTGCACTGCATAGATGCAAAAAAAAAGCATTAAAACACCATGGTGATCTAGATCCAATAAATTAAATCTCCTACTTTTCCGCCAAAAACACCTATCACTCAAAATCGAGAAAAATTCCCTAATTTTTACTTCGAAAATGCACAAAAACCGTCAGAAACGAACAATATCTTGGGGTCTGAGGGATGAAAAACGTTCGGATTTACCTTCGATCATCGACCATGCCGCTATTTCACTGCTCCTGCAATCATACGTGGATGTCAAGAAATTCGCGCATCTTGTGCCTGGATCGAGCCATCGAATGCGCGAAAATTTGGCGCCACCAAACTGCGAGCGATAATTTGCCGGCCCACATCCATCCATAGCAATAGCCCGGGGTTTCTGCACTACGCCAGATCGTCAAGCCAAATTACTTCGAATTTCCAGAGACTTTAAAAAAAAGCTACTTATTTTATTTCAATAAAATGAACCCGTGGTAGACACGTTGCTGTAAGGTGACCCGGCCACCCGAAAAAAATCGTTCGCAGATCGTGTATGACGCCGGCCGAGCCGAGCCCAGTCGAGTTATAGTAGTTGCCAGAAAAAGCACACGAAAAAATCAGATTACAGGTAACATGTCAACAATACCTGTAATCTGATGTTTTCGTGCACTGGCTGCCAGCACACGTAACAATGATTTTGGTGATTAAAAATGCAAGAAAAAACAGTATTTGAGAAACTAATATACAAACATAAAAGAAGAAAGAGAGGGGGGGGGGG